AATTATAAGTTCATCATTTATTTTATATTTAATCGATATAAAACTTTGTTAACCCGCTACGTTAAAAGTCACGCGATTATGAATTAACTAGTAATTACAAGAAAAAAATATTGTGGTGAAGCATGTTTGAGGAAGACATGAACCCGCTGACCCGCGGAGTAATATACGGCGCCGCTGTATAAATAATTTTTGTAAAAAATGAAATATTCTCCCTCCAAAATATTTGAATTACACACTAACAAATTGGTCAAAAAGCAAAAGAGAAAAAATAAAAAAGCTGAAAATTTGGCGGGTATTTTTAGAATGAGCTGTCATCCACGTGTCAAAATTCCTTTAACCCTCTGCTTTTGGCCCTTGGAATTTGCAGGGGCCGGAAGAATTTATATTTTTTTATTATTTTAGTATTCACGTCAAATGAATGAATGAAATATGTGGGGTCCAGTCGGCAGATTCGACGCTGAGGATTGTGTCCCACAGTCACTCAAGATTTAGCGGGAAGATCATAAAAGCTTGTTTCTGCCAAACCATTTAAAAAGTCAACTGCCCTCAACCGCGCCGTCAAGGTGGTGGGGGTGAATTAAAATTCGAATATGCTATAAATACAGATTTATTATTATTATTTTTTGTACAGTTGCCTTCCCGTGATTCATTGTTATATGCAAAATTTGTGAAAAAAATCCGGTACTTTGAAGCATTTTCCATTAAAATTACCCTTTATGAAAAAGTATTCATGAAATTGAATACATGAAATTGTATCGCTAATAGAGTGACTTGTCTGATTGACCATTAGTTACATAGTTAAACGAAACCCTCAACTTGAATTTTTTATTTAGTCGACTAAGTTGTCAAGTCTCTTATAAGTGGGAGAGTAACATTTAAACAAATTTTAACAAAATGGAGTATAAACAATCACAAACACTCGATCCATCATTAACCACTCATTTGAACTTCACCCTCTCATAAGGATAATCCTTCGCGAGAGTGGATCAATTCTTTCTACACAAGTTATTTTGCTCCAAAAAAATAATCTTATATATACAAAGAAGCATACAATTCTATCAACTAACTTTTTTTTTTTTTTTTTTTTAGTAAAGACTCTACACATTTGTAATGAGTTTTAAGCGAATTAATTTCACAAATGGTCACTGAACTTACCTGAAAAATACAAATGGTCACTAAAGTTCAAAACTTGCAAAAACGGTCACTGAAGTTTAGAGCTCTTTCTGAAATAGTCACTAAAGTTTACAAACTTGTAGAAATGCTCATCCAGATTTTTGGGAGAGATTTGCGGCAATTTTTCAACAACGTCCAACTGTCAATACCGTTGGAAAGTTCGACAGTATCCAAATTCTGTGGTCTTAGCGGTCGGAGGTTGCCAGAAATTGCCCCAAATCTCGCCCAAAAATCTGAAAAATTTGGGTAGATTCTTAAGATTTCGGGGAGCTCACTTTGTGAGCTTATTCCGACCATATCCTTTGGAGTTATGAGAAGATTTTGTATGATAATTGAAGAGGGGACTGTGAGCTTTCTAACATTATCCAAATTCGTGCGGTCTTAGTGTCGGAAGTTGTTGAAAAATTGCCGCAAAACTCGCTCAAAAATTTGAAAAATCTAGACAAATTTTTAGATTTTGGGGAGCTAACTTTGTGGGCTTATTTCGACCGAATCCTTTGGAGTTATGGAGAGATTTTAGATGGTAATTGAAAAGGACATTGTGGACTTTTCAGTGGTATCCAAATCCAGCGGTCTTGATGATTGGAAGTTGTTGGAAAATTCTCGCAAACCTCGGGCAAAAATCTAAAAAATCTAGTTTACCGTTTCTGCAAGTTTGTAAATTTCAGTGAATGTTTCTGCAAGTTTTAAAAATCAATAGTCATTTTGTAAATTTCAGGTAAGTACAGTGACCGTTTTTTGAAATTAACCAGTTTTAAGCTCAACCAAGGAAAGTCTATGTGGTTGGGAATATATATATTGTCAAAAAGACGAGAGTACAGTGAAGCAACAATATGATCATGCAATTTACTAATAGGGAAATTTATCTAGCTAACCATCTAGTGACTGACGAACTGAAAATTTAAGCAATGAAGTATCGACAACTTAACAATATGATCTACTTCAATCAGTAATTCATTTATAAGTGTGAGAGTTAACTCTAAAGAAATCTCAACAAAGTAAAATACTATCAACTAAGGACACTATACCATCAACTACCTATTACAAACGGATAATACTTCACGAAGGGGGTACCATTTCTATGTACAAGAGTAATTCCATTTATGAAAATGTGGTTATCTATCCTACATATACAAAGAAAATGTGAAATTTTCTCTGCTAACATATACAAATTCAATTACATATTTTAAGACAAACTTGCTAGCTGTTTCACCTACTTTACCAATACTGTCGAAGTTTAATGCAAATCTTACAATTGCAGTATCACGCGTTAACATTAATATAGAGTAAGTTGGAAATTTATAATTCCACAATTATATTATAGTATGTGATTAAAAAATTAAATTTTAAGAGCATGCATGAATAGTACTTGAACATGGTTGGGTGGTATGTCAAAGTTTAGTGGGTGTGAAGGAGGAGAGGGCAACAAGTAAAAGTGTTTCGTACATGGTATGCACGTGATTGTCATTAGCTAAGGGTCCCCATGTTTCTCGCACATTCTTACAACACGCTTTTAGTACTAAATTTTAAAAATAAGTATGTGTTTCCACGACTTGTGTGTTTTCATGTCATGCTCGTTTAGTTGCTTGTCATGACCAATTAAATATTGTCACGCATTGGCATAATCTTCAAATATGGTTGTGAATTTATTTCTATTTTAATGAATTTCCGATGAAGAAGAAAACTAAGAATTGGACTGTTGGAGATCGACTAAATCGATCACGAAATAGAGAGTTAGATGAAAATCCAATCTAATCACACATGAAAAATAAAAAATATGAACACCAGTTGAAATAATTTAGGATTAGTTGGCTGATGTCCATACTTATTATTAGAACAATTTGTTTTGGCAAGTTAATTTTGCTCGATCCTACCTACTAGACGCATCTTATATCGATATGTAGTATTAAATATATTTAATGAAACGTTCAATGATTTTGTACGTCTTGTAGATATATTTATACACTAGATTTGTAATCTCTAGCTAGCCAAACAATTTTCCAAAAAATAAAGAGGAATCAAGTTTATACTTAATATGTAGAATAAAAAATTGAAATGCATTCAATTATAATTTGGATAGATACTATCCTCAATCACTTATTCTCGCAAATTGACATTCTATCAAATTGAAATATGTCTAAGATTGTAAAGTTTTCAAAAAGAAAAATATGATCCAATTATCCAAAATAATTTGGTAACATATTCATAGAAATTCAATGAAAGAGTTATTAAAATTTTAATTAATTATTCCAAGACAAAACTAGTATTGCAAAATCGCTCATTTCTATTACGACCTACTATTATAAATTTCTAAAGATTTTATTAGATTCTAACACCACCTTTCACTCATAATCAAATTGGGTAAAATGAATACTTCCAAAATTTAAAAATGTAAAAGTATTAACCAAGGTTTACTTCACGAAACTTTTGCACATCACGAACTATGACAATGATCGCATTACTAATTTGATCACGTACCCTTAAAATTTTACATAATAATTATTCTTCTACACTTAAAAATTTATTTGTTTTCTTTCTTATCGTCAATCAATATCAATCTCACCCTCATCATCACTCGAATATAACGAAACATTGCAGCGAAAACTATTCGTTTACTTTCATTATTTCATTTCAACAATCAAAATTGCATTATTTCAAAAAGAGGAAATTATAAAAAATGTCCATTTTGACATCGTCATCTACAAAGATATCCAAAATTTTTCGATATCCATTTTTGCAATTATTTGGACAAGAGTACTCTTAAGTAACTTCCATGAGAAGTTATATTAAAATAATGTTTACGAGATTTCAAAGGTTATTCTCGATATGCGAATCGTTTATATTTCAAAAGTACACATGTCAAATCACAATATTAAATGTTCTCGTCATTTCAAACGTTGTTCTCGACGTATTAAATATTTAGAATGACATTTCATTTCGAACATGACATTTCTCTACACTTTTAATATTGTTTTCGACATTTCTGTATCTAACATTAATTGTGATTTGATATGTGCAATATGAAATTATTTATTCTTTCATTAAGGGTAAAATAAAAAAATTTGTATCAAATTTGGTCATTTTTGTAAAGATTATTAAAAGTGAATATTTTTGAATTGATATATGTAAGATTGGACATTTTTGCAAATGTCTTTTTCAAAAATAAATAAAAAATTCAGGTTTTAACAAGAAGACTGCATTACAAAAGCTGACCTGGCCCTCAACGTATAAAGTTACAAGAAAATCGGCCGAAAAACAAATGACAAGAGAAAAGCCGATACGTGCGGTTGTTGTCACGTGCGAACATATCATTAAAGTCGGGCCAGGGTCGGCAAATCCTCATCCTTAATTTGCAAGTTACCCCTGAATTATCTCCCAAAATTACATATTAACCCTTTATTAATCCATTTAAACACAAAAACATTAGTTAAAAAATAATATGCTATGACCCACCCATTGCACCCACTACACCCACCGTCAGGGTCACGGCTATCTATTGAGTCATATGCACGCAAAGCACAAATTCAGTTGTCCACGTTGCGTCCACGCTGGCAATCTAGACGGCTCCCCAAAGTCATGGGATCAAAAGACGCGTGTCAAATTGGTGCAAAGGGGTCGTTGACTTGTGAGTGATGAAGAAAATCAAAAGAATAAAAAAAGGAAAATATATTTGAAAATTAGGTCAGTACGGGCAGATTATTCGGGCAGCTAAGCCAGCTTCATGTGATTAGTTGGCGCGTCGAACGCGTGATATTCAAAGTGAAAAATTAATTAACTAATACTAATTAATATATATATAATCCCTCCTTTAAGAGGAAAACCAAAGCATTTGTTTTCACTGAAAGTTTTAGATAGAAAAAATTTAAACAGTACAAATTCTAGAGAGAGAGAGAGAGAGAGAGAGAGAGATTGAAGAGGATAAGGGTACAAATTAATTCAGAGATATTTTATTAGAAGTTCTGAGAAGTGAAATTTTCGATTTCGTTTGTGATTTTAAGAGAGGAAGAAGGAATAAGAAGTATGGAGTGGACATATGTAGATGAATATGAGAAGCTTCTCTTTAGAATGTCTAGCCCAAGGTTATTATGTGTTTGTTTTCTTCTTCTCTGTTTGTTTGAGTTTCCGTTTCCATTCTCAACATTTTTTTTTTCAATTTTTTCATATTTTTAAAGTTTGTTGTTTAAATCCCTTAGCTTTTTTTGTAATATTTCTTTGGTTTTCCTGAATTTGCAGTTTGTTTACTCTGTTTTTCTTGATTTTCTATCTACTGCAATTCGCAAACAAGGCTTGGGTTCTTGGATTTTTCCCTAAATTTTACCCTTCACAACAGAAATTTTGCTCAATCTGAGGTAGAAAACAAATAAAATTGAACTTCCTAATAAAGTTTTTGGGTTTTTGTTTATTTTTTGGTACTTTGCTTTTGAATGTCCCCAATATTATTCCACATCATATCTTTTGATTTTAATTCTTCTGGATTTCCCAATCTTTGGGGTATTCCTATTGGCAACTTTCTTTGATAAAAAATAATCAGTGAAGATCCCACTTGATTTTCACCTTAATTAAATTTAACTTCCTAATTAATTACACCGATTTCTTTTCCTTCACGTTAATCTGACTCTTTCTCTTCTTTGTTCACACACCACCGACTGGAGTTTTCAGTGACCGTGCTTGAATTTCAAATTCCCCAGAATAACCTTTCGCTGACCAATTCTCCATTGCTTTTTTCAGGGTCATGATCGACAATGCCAGTTGTGCAGACGCCACAATAGTCATGGTATGTTCCCTTCTTGAAAACACACCAAATTTGTATTAATTATTTACTTATTTTTGTTAATTCTTGTTAATTTTACAGATTGATAGTGCTAGAAAACATGGAATTCTTCTTGAAGCTGTTCAAGTTCTTACTGATTTGAACCTGTCAATTAAGAAAGCTTACATTTCTTCTGATGGTCGGTGGTTCATGGACGGTAAGCCACCTTTTTTTTTGGGCTAACTTTCGCCTTCTAACATGTGGTGTATTTGCATTTAATCTTTAATTAATGGGCTTTGATGCAGTTTCTTTGGTTTTCTACTAATTTTGCCGTTTCGTTTTCTTTAATTTTACAGTTTTTCATGTGACTGATTTGGATGGAAACAAATTAACAGATGAAAGTGTCCTCAATTACATCAAACAGGTAACTATTAATTACTGTGTTCTTCGAATTTTGACCTTTGTATTACCGTTTTATGTATGTAATGGACTGATTGCATCTGTTTTACTGTTAATACAGTCCCTTGGGACAATTCATTATGGGAGATCGAAAAGCTTTGAGGGCCTTACAGCATTAGAGTTGACGGGTACAGATCGAGTTGGCCTTCTGTCCGAGGTTTTTGCAGTGCTGTTAAATTTACAGTGCAATGTTGTCGAAGCTAACATGTGGACACACAATGGTCGAATAGCATCCTTAATTTATGTTAACGACAACGATTCTGGATCCCCGATTGAGGATTCACAAAAGATTGATAGAATCGAGGCCATGTTAAGGAATGTTCTCAAGGGCGACAATGATATCCGTAGTGCCAAAACATCAGTTTCCTTGGCTGTCACACATACAGAAAGGAGGCTGCATCAGATGATGTTTGCTGATCGCGATTACGAGAGGAAGCCGCGTATCAAAACTTGTGATGAGTCCCTGGTCGTGGCAGTACAGAATTGTTTGGAAAAGGGTTATTCTGTTGTAAATATTCAGTGTAAGGACCGGACGAAGCTTCTGTTTGATGTCGTTTGCACATTGACAGACATGCAGTATGTTGTTTTCCATGCTACAATTAACACGGCTGGAGACAGAGCCTCCCTGGTATATAATTCTTCAATTTAGTACATTAGCTTCGTTTTATGTTATTTTTTAAAGGGAAATTTACATAATTTGCTATGAATATTTTTTTTTTCAGGAATTTTTCATTAGACACTTGGATGGAACCCCGATTAGTTCGGAAGCTGAAAAGCAACGTGTGATCCTATGCTTACAAGCTGCAATCGAAAGGAGGTCATCACAGGTGATATTTTGTGCCTTTATTGTGTATTAAAGAATCCCCAAGGTCTTGATTTAGCATGTTTTTTTTTCTCGATTTGTTAGCCTAATGGAATCTTCTTGTCTGCTAACAGGGTGTAAGGCTTGAACTAAGTACTGATGATAGATTGGGGCTATTGGCTGATGTGACACGAACCTTCCGCGAAAACGGCCTAAATGTGACGAGGGCCGAGATATCGACAGCAATGGATCGGGCACTAAACGTGTTTTACGTCACGGATGCACTTGGGAATCAAGTTGATTCAAAGATCATCGAATCTGTTCGACAAAAGATTGGATTTAGTAAATTGACAGTGAAGGAATTACCCTTGATCTATCATCAAAAGGCAGAACGGGATGAGGCCCCGATGGGAGCCGGTGGGGCCATGTTGTTATCACTCGGAAGCCTTGTGAGAAGGAATCTATACAATTTGGGATTGATCAAATCTTATTCTTGATTGATCAAAAAGGCATATTCTTTGCTTCACACAGGTTTCATGAGCTGGGCATTTGTACATAGGAAAAGGTGTTTAAGACGGGGATTTGGTATGGTAGTTGTTATAGTTGATGTTTGGTTGGTCCAGTAGGTAGACACGTACACATAGAAGGTGGATGATATGGGGCCCACCTCCCCACCAGTTTTCTTTGGGAAAATTGTTTGTTTAGAAGAAAAAATTTGAATTTTCAAGATGGAAAATGGAAGAGAGAAGAAGTGTTTGGTGGGTGGGTTTTAGTTATATTTTTCTGCTTCCGTAGTAGTAATAGGAAAATATTGGTTTCACACAGCATATATATAATGTACATGATTATTATTTTTGTAAAAAGTAAAATATTAGTTAGTTCTGACGTTTAACTTGATGTTTTACTTTTACGTTATGATTTGCCACCACAAGAATTCTAATCTGTTTTCTTATTGTTGTCGTCAACTTCGAATGATGTTTATTACTAAAGTTTAAGTAATTTAAGCAAATAAAGCTTTTTACGTATTTTTTATTTTTTCAATTAAATCTCGTTTAATCTCATCTGTCTAACAAAAATGTCACCTTAATAATATTAGGTAGAATTATGTTAAACTTTTATTGAGGTAACTGTAAACGCACAACTATCTCCGTTCTTCATTAATGCCTAGAAATGTTTTCTAGCGTACCTAAGTCAAATAAATCCATTGTAACTTTATTTACAAAACGAATTCAATATTTAAATGTAACAATATTGAGTCCATATTATCAAAAGTTGTTATCTTACATTCATCATTTGAAAATAGGGAAGGATAATGTGGAATGA